CTTTTTATCTCAACCCATGAGTTTTTCTCACTTCTACTCTTCCAATTCTCTCCCCGATCCCACTGGGGGGGGCGAGTGAGCGAGCGGCTGTGTCGTACTCGGTTGCCGACTGAGGTTAAACCACGACAACCCTTTAAGAAGATTCCTGGCATTTACACAGACAAACTGAGGTTAAGCTCATCTGAATTGGAAAGGTCCAGTCTCGTTATGTAAGGGGAATATAGTAGAGAGGCTCTCAAAGAAGCCCCCCTACCATAAGGCATGCGCTGATGGGAGCTACCTCGGGAGCATTTTTGACTCACTTTACTCAAACTCCTGCTGGAGCCTCTGGGCTTCACAGCTTGTTCTCCAGCTCAGAAAAAATAAATAAAAATAGTTAGCTGGCTTTGCAGGACAGCTTACTCTTTAGCTACGCAGGCAGCAAAGGTCGAATCAGTTTGGGAGAGGAAAAAAAATCCCAAATGGGACTTTTTTGGCAGGAAGGGATCTTTGCTTTTCAATCGATCAGGTTTATGGAGCACCCTTTTTTATTTAAAGGAAGTTAAAACACATTAAATAATATTTCTCCTATCTTAACTATGACTGGTATCAGTCTTGGAGCACACCCTTTAAGTCACACATAGGAGATAGACAGCAAAGTCCTGGAAGTCATGATCGAGATGTAGACTTGGCCCAAAGTGCAAACATACTCTGGACAGTCGATCTGCACTGGTGGGTGAAACAACTTTTTGTCTGCCTTGGAGGAGTTTTGCATATGGTAACAAACTCTTTCAGGACATGGGTAAAGTGAAAAGTCAGTAGGGCTTCCTTTGCCCAGTTGAATTTTGGAGATGCCCAAGAAGCCCAGCTCCTCACGAAAACTCTTACCCTATTTTTAAAGCAAAACCTGCTCTTGAGTTGGGGTCATTTTCTGAGACTGGTGCTTCCACCTGTGCCCCATGCATTTCACAAAGGCAGGTACAACACACACAGTCAGCCCAGCTCCTTGGTGGTCCCCTGTTCCCCCCGAGCTCTGCCTCCCAGCCCTGGCCATCAGCCCTGTGATAACCCCAGTCTAGGGGGGAAGAAACATCTCAGATTAAGAGTCTGGACCCCACTCCTGAAAGATACATATGAGTTCAAGTTTACATACTAAGTACCACTACAGTCAAGGCAGGATCAGCTTATGGTATCTATGTAGACACACAGAATGCTTGTGGGGCTTGCCATGCAAAGAATGGTATTTTTCAGAAATGCTGCCACAGTACTGCTGAAGCAGCAGC